TGTAGACAACGCTTACGCTATTATGACCGAGTTAGCAACTTTGCGCCATTCATTTGTGCTTTTAACAATTTGACGCCAATTAGAAATACCAAGTACAGCCATGCCCTTCTCTATATGGTCTTACCAAAGGAGTAGAGATCTTCCTCTGCTTCTACCGGCGGTTATGGCATTAAAATATTTTTAAAGCAAGAGTACTCTTAACCATGCGAATCACATAACCTATCCGCTGAACTATGTCAATGCCCCTATATACCTCGTACAGCTCCTGGTTCCATTAGCTGCTCTATTCGCCGTTCCCACATCATAGAGGGTCATATATGTATGGGGTGTAGTCAAGCTTATAAATGCAGCGTTTACCAGTGGTGCAGATGCGAATGGGCGTCGGTCTTGAAAAATTAAATTTAAAAAATTTATTTCCAAAAAAACACATGTAATGAAACTTTCCTGAAAAACCTAAGGTTGATTGACTTTTCCAGGGTATAAAATATGGTTTTATGCCTGTAACTGGACCGTTCGTTCATGTTGGCATAGACAGAAGACATACCTTCAGTGTTGTAGATGCGCGTTCGGTTGGAGGACCTATAATCGACTTGAATCACTATCCTGTCGCTGCGAAAATACGCACTCGTCTCTATGCAGGATAAAAGCACAAAGAAAGTTTTATACCAGACTTGTTGTTGAGGATGGGATAGATGCCGAGAGCTCTTCCTCTTCAGCTAAGCGGCACTTGCAGACAGAAATATAATGATTTTGACTATTTCTTGCCACTTTCGTGAGTGTGAAGAGATTGAGGATATGGAGGATAGCATACTGAATTTATAAAGGATGTAGTGGAGTGTAGTGAAGTTTCTGAGTATGTAGCTATAGTCGCGGGGCTATATTTAATTACTACTCTTGCGCTCACGACCCGCACTTTGGAGACACGAGCCACCGTTGTGCATTTATATTTTAAGCGTTTAGTGCAAAAAGATTAAAACAGAAAATGCTGGAGAGGGCCTTTTAGCCGATATTAAGAGCGCTTATCCTACGATAACTGGCGCTGACTGTGGGGTCCCATTTTTTATGGATTGGACAGAGCACACTAGAGTTTCAATCGTCGTCCGACCATATTCTGCAAGGGAGCTGATGCATGTCTTATTTAAACGACTCCAGCGGCTTTGTGGTTCTTTAAGCGGCTAATGGAACGTGTTTTCCATCGCCATTGATCTGGGTTTCTGGTTCACCATCTCTGAGCGTTCCATTTTCACTGGCATTCAGCAGGTTGGAGAAGTGTTCTCTCAATAAATTCCCATACGAGCATTATTTGTCTTTGACAATTTTTTATATCTTTGGCGTGGATTAACTCAGCATCAGTGCGACGATGGACTTAATTAAATTTTGGCGATTAAGATCCTTGATGATTCTGTGTTTATCTGTTTATGGTGAATTCAGTTGAGGTCATACATTACTTCAAGAGGGATTTCATGAAGGTTGAATCAGTTGTTCTTCCAGAAACTACGGATGCTGTGCGCGAACTGATATTGAAAGATCGTCGGATTGTGACAACTATGGGCATTAGTGGGATCAATATATTTTCAATATTAAATAAATATTTGACTGTAAAGAAATTTTCACATTGGAACCCCTAGAGATAGCGATATATGATAGCTTCATTTAAAGCCTATGATATCGTAACAGCCGATGAATAATCCAACAGACCGGTGACCGAAAACCAGTAACAGTCCGGACTGCCCTGTACCCGAAACCGATCGCGGAAGGTCGCGTTACACTTGCCTCTTACACTAAACAGCTACAGATTTGTTCATCAGCTGCTATAAAATTGCTCGTGGAAAAGGAGAAGAAATTTATTTAATTATTCAAAGCCCTCAGTTAGTAGATTATAAAACAGAAAAGCGAGTCTGAGGAATCAATGTTTGGGAAATGTGTATTAAAATCGTTGATAAAGGATCTAAAAGAATCGTGGGGGACCTGATGTGTCTAGATGATCTTAAAGGGATGGTAAAGTCAAGCTCGCTAAGTAGGAATGGGCTATTGATAGCATTTCTTATCAATTTAGTTAAAAATAAATCTCCAAGCATCCACTTCTGTGGAGTGTGGGCAGATTAATGAACTCTTAGTGGCTTTTGTAAGAAGGCGGGTTCTTGTTCGCATCCCAACTTAAATTTCTTAACGCGAATAATATGAATTGCTTTTGTACAGATTCCAATTTATCACTCTACAATTGATAGTACGGACTCCATACGACTGAGCCATATAGATATTTGCCCAGTGCAGTGGTTGCAGAACCTAAAAATTCTGAGTGGTGAACAATCATCATGGATCACTCTTCTTCAGGACAATGCGAACTCTCACATATCCACTAAAACAATTGCATTTTCAAGCAGCCAAAATATCGATTTGATGAATCGGCCACCGTATAGATCTCACCGAATGACTTCCCTTTATTTCCATACGTGAAAATAAACTGAGCGGTCAACGTTTATCGATACCTGCAGAGGCGGTTGATGTGTTCAGAACGCATGCTTAAGAGATTTTTCAAACGGAGTGGCAAAAGTGCTTCGACAATTGGTTCAAATGCTTGCAGAAGTGTATAGATCTTAATGGAGATTTTACTGAAAAAGAATAAAGCGTTTTTGACATCATTAATATTTGCTTTTGTTCTCTTGTGCTCGTAACAAACGAATTTATGGCAAGCAACTGGTTTCTTCCATTTATTTTGAATTTTGCTAATACACGAAGCCATCTTCTAAACATCGCCACCAGTTTTTTTCCTTCCCCGCATAGTAACGCCAATGTGTTTGTATGGCCCTTCTGGTTCTATTTCTTTTATCTCCAAGTCTCTGGGCTCAATGGGCATACTCCGGAGGATCACGTCTCCTTTTCCACGAGACATTCCACTCTGAAATATTTCTTCTCATATTCTGTTTCATTTCAAAAAACGAAAAGTTGCCTCAGCTAGCGCTATTCTTTTTTTAATGTATACTCTCTACAGTAATAATTTTACAGTTTGCATTACTGAATATAAAATAAAAAATTGCATTGAAAATTAAATTTTATGTACCTCATCTCCGGTAATCTGAATTCATATTTTTTTTTCAAAAATAAGATAAGATTCATAATCTGCGACCTCAAAAACCACCGAGTAGCGTTTTTTATTTATTAAAGAATTTTTTCGAGTTTTAACCACGTTTTTGGCTTTTGGCACCACTGTGCCCACTGTGTGATGATCTCATGCAAACTTTCTGCTCTTTAGCTAAAGTAAGAAACTCTGGTATTTTTTCACGCAGAAGATAGCATTTTTTTTTTGCTAAAGATCTCAGCGATTTCGCTTTCGATTTGGCAGTTAATATGGAGGATGTATGGATAACATTTTACATTTTATGGTTTCGAAAATAAATGTAAATAAAAAGCTTTTAAAATAATGTTTTGATGAAATTATTTTTTTATTTCAAAGCTTGAACCCTGGCCTTACTTAAACTTAACTTCATTAAATCAAATGATCGCCTCTCGATTTTCTACGAACTTCCTTCCATTTGACGTAATTTTCGTCCATTTTTTCGCACATTTATGACTGTATCTCAGCCTTGGCTTGACGAATGTTGGTTTTAAAGTATCTTAAGCACTTTAAAGGTTTATTCGCATAAACAAGTTCTTTCGCGTAGTCGCACAATAACAAAGTCCAACAGTGTTAAATCGCACGATCTCGATGGCCAATTGACACTGCCAAGACGAGAGATTACAGAACACGGAAATTTCTCTAGCAGTAAAGCCAATAATTGTGTAGCAGATGGCATCAGCTTGTTGAAACCACACATTGTTCAGGTCGTGTTCTTTAATTACATGCCAAACAAGGCAGCTTATCATACGATTATAACTCTGAGCGGCAGTCTCGCCGATGTCGTTTTCAAAGAAGTAAGGTGCAATCTCATCTCCAGACTAAAAAGCGCAGTAGACAGTAAATTTTCTTGGTTCTAATGCTCTTTCTTCAATTATCTGAGCACTCTTGGTGCCCCAAATACGACAATTTTGTTAAATTTTCTTACACCCTCGAGTGAGAAATGGGCCTCGTCGTTGAAGAAAATTTTTTTCATGAAATCGTCATCGTTCAAGCACGTAATAGACGAATGTACGGCGTTGTGAAAGATCAGCGGGCTTCAGTTGTTGTATTAGCTGGACTTTATATAGATGTAGGTGTAAGTTCATGTTCTAAATAGACTGTAATGTGCCGTAAGAAAGTCCTAGTTCTTGTGAATATCGATAAATAGACACACTCTTTGGCTACACTTTCGCTTAGAGCAGCGATATTTGAGGTGGAACGAGCAAAACGATGATGCACAGGTCCTTCAATATGTGTAATCGATGCAGTCTGTTCAACTTTCCTTAAATTTTACCAATTACTTGAGTTTATGTGTACCACGACCCGTTTGGTCATTCATAATTTTTGTAGTAGGTTTCAACTGTGGTTTGACAGTTAATTTTGACAGATGTCAAAACACAGCTTTGCAATTTTGAAGCCACGAAATGACTAACGCTATTGAATTCTAGCAAAAATGTGTTCCTGGATGTTCTTAAAAAATTTAAATATTTTTTTTGAGTAAATAAAATCGAAATTTTTGTAGAAACAAAAATTGTATTTTATTCAAAAAATCCAACTTAAGCTAGATATGAACAATTATTTCTTTATTCTAAATTACGACTAACTAGCAAAGAACTAAAGTGTTACATTAAATCATAAAATAAATCTAGGGTACGATAAAAAAGTAAAAATTGTTGTGATTATATTTGTAAAAAAAAAAAATTAAAATTAAAATTTTATGCGAATGTTAAAAGCGCTTTTATAAATAATTGCGAATGATGTTTAAATATTTACTATATGCGGAATATGAGTATTTTTCAGCAAGAGAAAAAAGAAGCCGAAATATTTGAATTTTATGCAGAGAAAGGCACTTTTTTTTACTTTTTTGGAAGAGCGAAAATATTTTTTTTTTTAAATTTAAGCCTATGAAATTTAATCGAAAAATAATTTATTTAAAAAATTATTTTGTGAAATTTTTGAAAAAAAAAAATGTTACAAATTCCAACTCTGTGTTTAGTCTGGAAGACATCGTGAAAAATTCTTGGAAATTTCTTTTAAGATATCGAAAAGGAGATATTTTTATTAAAACTGATAAACAACAGATGACGCAATTGCACAAATATGATTTTGTGCACTTAAATATTTTTATGCATAATTTCTATATTTATAAATAAAAATTTGCACTTAAAATTATTCAGTTACCATTTTAAATTACACTAACTGTATACATTTCCTACATCTAATATTTAAATATTTACTAGCTTTGTTTGTGTATAAAATTAACTATAATATTTGTTCGTTTCATTTGGAAAACAACTTTTATAGCAACTTTTCAAAACAAAAAAAAAATAAAAAAAAATTAACACAACACTAGATTTATAAAAACCACAACTAGCTTTCTCCCATTCAATAATTCCCAGTTCGTTACCGGCAAAGTGCATATTTCAATGACGTGCAATAGAGGTTTGAGACTTTGATTCGTGCGTACTGCGCTCCCGCAGCCGCTTGTCTCAGCTACTTTTATTTATACTCTCGCGATTTCCACGCTGACTCTCGCGCGCGCTCTCCGCCATCATCATTTGTAGTAACAGCCGCCATATTGATATGTTGGCGGATGATGCTGAGCACCATTAGGATAGTACAGATTGTGATGTGATGAGGAGCGTACTGGTGGGTGTGGGCGGTAAGCACTGGCGGCGGCGGCGGCGTTGGCATGCGTCGGCACGTAGGCCGCGCTGTCATCACGTGCGGCGCTGGCATAACGGCGTGCGCAACGCTCTTCAATATTGGATGGCGGCCAACGTTGGTAGTGACGGGTTGAGTCTTCAGATGAGCGTCGGCGATGGTAACGCTTGACGGATGTAGTAGTTGTGGCTGGTGCTGCGTTCATTTGCTGGTGATAACTACTGTCATCACCACTGCCAGCACTGTGCGTTGCAGCTGTGGCTGTTAACGATGAACGATATTTGCGACGCGCACGCTCATCTAATGACGAAGTGGGTGTATAGCGTCCAGTATCGATACGCGCCACAGGTGACGCATCCACTACATCCTCATTGTGTGCTGCGGCTTGACGCTGTTGCATGTGCATGAAATCGGCGGCGAAGTTATCATAGGCTCGTAGACCAACTGCGCTGCGTTTACGCTCTGCTTGTTCTACATCGAGACGTGCGCGCCATTCCTGTGCGGTTACTTGTTGACCGTAGAGATCGGTGTTTGGCTGGAATTGTGATTGTGAGTTGCTGTTGTAGAGATTGTGGTAGGATGAGCGACGCCAGCCCTCTTCGTAGCGCCGGCGTGTGTGTTCATCTTCTAGTGCTTGACGGCGTTGTGAACGACTAGAGCTTGACTCCGAGGAGTCTTCACCAGAGGTGCCAATACCCAAGTCCTTTTCATCGCCATATGCTTTGTAAGGTGCACCAAGGAAACTCTTGCCTGTGCCAAAAGGTCCTGGCAATCCCAGTGGCGTGTGTTGTTGTAGGTAATAAGAGTTCAATTTGTCCATGCTCGACAACTTCATTGGGCTCTCTACATCTGTGATCTCATCATTATCATCACCGATGTCTGTGCCAGACCAAGTCTGCCAAGAGCCGGGACCGAAAAGTGATAATAGTACGGGTAGCAAGAAGAGACCATGCATGGCGCCGAAGAAGATCACAAGAAAGACCATTTTGAAGAAGACCAAGAAAATATAGCTCTGCGCGAGCAAAAGTGCAATAATGCCGAGTATAGTTGAGCTGGAGCCCTGCACGATCGGCAAGCCAAGTGAGTGCAGTGCCTCGCGTACGCGCGCCTTTGGGCTACGTTTCTTCGATGACATGTAGGTGTAGCAAATGTGTGCGGTGAAGTCCACGGAGAAACCAATACACATGATCAAATTGATCATAGAAATCGAGTCGAGATTCACATCCCACAGTGCCATATAGCCGGCGACACCCAGCTCAATCGAAATAATTGAGAAAGCAACCCACAGCGAGCACAGTATATTTGGTATGAAAATAAACGAGATGATCATCATAATGATCGCACCAACGATCATTGACTGTAACGAGGTCGGGCGTACAAGCTCAAACTGATCGAAAAACACGAAGTAAGGATGGAATATAGACGCATTTAGAGGCGAATCCTTACAAATCTGACGCAAATCGCGCACCATCTCTTTTTCATGATTTGTATCGGTGATATTCACAGCCTGTATGAGAAAACGCGAGGCGATAATACGCGTCTCATCCTCATTGAACTTCACATCGAGCGAGAAAGGATTGCCCGGAAAGAGCCAATGCTCCTTCACGGCATCAATAAACGACTGCTCATCGTCGATGGTCAAATTGAGATAATCATTATTGCGAGCGACAAACGAACGGAATGAACGTATCCACGATTCGGTGTAGAGCGATGAGGTGACATACGAAGTGTTCTCAAGTGTGCGTGTCAGCTCCTCGATTTGATCTTGCACAATGGGATCGGAATAATTCAGATCGCCCGTGATGATCACCTGCGTAAAAGAGAGTGGAGAGTGTATATTAGCAACAAATAAAAATAATTAATAAGAGCATTGTGCAAATACCTGCATGCGATATGGAAACTCGCGATAAAATTCATCTTCACGATCGAAAAACTCCACTGAGTAGGAGTCGGCCTTGGATAATTTGCGACGTTCCAAACCTTCCTTTATCTGCGTGAGACCATAGCAGGCGCCAGCTAGATATGTGGCAAATATAAGTATGATAAGCATTTTGCACCATTTGTTATTGATCACGGCAGCGAGATGGTCTTTAAAGAAGGCCATGAACATGTGATCCTTGTTATCGATTGGATTATCTGGATCATCGCGATTGATACCACCTGCCATGATGGCTTTGTAGAGGAAGTTGCGTTTTTCTTGACGATAAAAGAGAATTGAAATAAATTTAATATTTAAATATTAATTACAATTTTTTTGTAAAGACGTATAATAAAAAAAAATATAATAAATCTCATTTTCTCTCAAACTTTAGGACAATTAATTTAAATATAATTGGAGGATTTTTGAAACAATTCAAATATTATTGTAGGCAATAGCTTGTCGTCTAAATTTATGCTGCCTACATTTAGGCGCATATAGTTTTTCTTTCTGTGCAGCGCAACATTGCCTTAATAAAAATTGTTCAATTAGAGACAAATTTAACTAAATTTAAAAAAATATTTGACTGAAAAAGTCGCTTAGCTTCGTTGACAGCAAAACACTGACATTCCGCTGCAAGCTATGCTTTACAATTATTTACAGAAATTTTCTTATGCGTAATTATTTATTTATATTTCTTCTGGTTTTTTGTTCAATTACGAATTCTAACATTGACCTAGAAAGCTTGTTTGTGCTTGCATTCTTTGGATTGACTTATTGTTTACTTCCACTCCGTTTTCGATCCGTCGTTGCGCTAATAACATAATTAGCTACTCGCTGCTGATTTAGTTGTTGCACAGGTGCAGTGCGAACTGTTACTTTTTCTCCCATACTTTCAGTTGTACCACCAGTATGAATTTTATTGTCATTGAAAGAAACGGGAAAAATCTTTGTTTGCTAAGACAACTTCTATGGATAAGATCGCATAGTTTTATGCGCGAATTGGCATAAATTGGTTCATCTAATTAGACTGATTGGAAGGTAGCAGTGATTTTTAATAATGATGCAGACAATTTTTACGAAAGAATGTTAAATGTTATTTACGTAATAGGATTTCTTTAATTAATCATCGCTTTTTTATTTCATTTTAATTTACTCAATTTTATTTCATATTAAATACTTTAATTTGTATTTATTGCAATTGAATTTAAATATATTTACCTTTGTTTTATTTTATTTATTTTGTTTTAGTTTCGACATTTTAGATTTTATTTTTTATTTAGTAATTTTTTTCATTTTTTATTTTTCTTTTAATTTTTATTTTTATTCATTATATTTTAATTTAAATAACTTTTTACAATTTTTTTTGCTATATTTTTTTTACTTTCTTTTTTAACTTTGATTTACTTCCTTCTTATCTCACTTTCTTTTTTTTTAATTTATTTTCTTTTTATTTTAACCTTATTTTAATATTATTTGTATTGCTTTTTAACGTTTAAATTAATTTATTTTTATTTATTTACTTTCTTTTATTTGGTTTCATTTTATTCTATAATATTTCATATTATCTTATTCTGCTTGGTGTTCTTTTCTTTTATTTATGTATTTAATTTCATTTTTTTATTTGTTTTTTAATTCTTATTTTTATTTCATTTTATTTTTATTTCATTTTGTTTTAATTCATTTCATTTTATTTTAATTTCTTTATCTAATCTGCTTTTTAATTTTGTTTGTTTAATTTTTTATTTTATTATTTTTTTTTTTTTTAATTATGTTTTTAAATTAATTTTTTTGTGACATTTAATTTATTTCCTTTCATTTTATTTTATTTTATTTTATCTTATTTCATTTCATTTCATTTTATTTCATTTCATTTCATTTCATTTCATTTCATTTCATTTCATTTCATTTCATTTCATTTCATTTCATTTCATTTCATTTCATTTCATTTCATTTCATTTCATTTCATTTCATTTCATTTCATTTCATTTCATTTCATTTCATTTCATTTCATTTCATTTCATTTCATTTCATTTCATTTCATTTCATTTCATTTCATTTCATTTCATTTCATTTCATTTCATTTCATTTCATTTCATTTCATTTCATTTCATTTCATTTCATTTCATTTCATTTCATTTCATTTCATTTCATTTCATTTCATTTCATTTCATTTCATTTCATTTCATTTCATTTCATTTCATTTCATTTCATTTCATTTCATTTCATTTCATTTCATTTCATTTCATTTCATTTCATTTCATTTCATTTCATTTCATTTCATTTCATTTCATTTCATTTCATTTCATTTCATTTCATTTCATTTCATTTCATTTCATTTCATTTCATTTCATTTCATTTCATTTCATTTCATTTCATTTCATTTCATTTCATTTCATTTCATTTCATTTCATTTCATTTCATTTCATTTCATTTCATTTCATTTCATTTCATTTCATTTCATTTCATTTCATTTCATTTCATTTCATTTCATTTCATTTCATTTCATTTCATTTCATTTCATTTCATTTCATTTCATTTCATTTCATTTCATTTCATTTCATTTCATTTCATTTCATTTCATTTCATTTCATTTCATTTCATTTCATTTCATTTCATTTCATTTCATTTCATTTCATTTCATTTCATTTCATTTCATTTCATTTCATTTCATTTCATTNTTTTATTTTATTTTATTTTATTTTATGTTATTTTATTTTATTTTATTTTATTTTATTATATTTCAATTTATTTTACATTTTTATTTATTATATTTCTGTCATATATATGTATATATACATTTTTTGAACAATCTCATTTACACTCAACAGCTAACAGTAGCTAATATCACTCAGTCAACTGCCTGTCAATTGCTGTTTGTTGTTGTGTGTTGTAATTAATAGCTACGAAGTGAAGACAGACGGCAAAAGTACGACAGAAAAGACGCCGGAATAAAAACTGAAAAAGATCTCAGAAACAAAAAACAAAAAAAAAAAAAGCAAGCAAAGAAATCAAAGCCAAAGTACGAGAAACACAAGACTGCAGCAGCAAAACCATGGAATTTGAGTGCAGGTGTCGTAAGGCGACAGCCACAAACGGTTAACAAAACAGGAGAGTGAAAAAAATTCAGTTTAAAAATGTTAAAAAGTCAATAAATAACAGAGTAAAAACTTGAAAAGCAAAATATGAGTAAGAAAAAATGAGAAAAAGACGAAGAAGATTATTGTAGAGAAAATAAGAGTGATGCTTGCAGACGAAACGCCAGCCAGACGGAGCGACAATTTAATGAACCGTGAAAATGGCGAAAAATGTAACTGAAAGTTTACCGTTGGGTTTGCTGTAATAATAAGCGGAAACAAATATTTGTTGTTTGTGTAATATTTTTACACTTATTACATATAGCTTGCAGGCCTAAAGTAAATTTCTGTTTCTTGTGAAAGTTTCTTAGCTCGTTTGTAGGTTATGCGTAGGCGACGGTTGATATAAGCGAGAAAGTAATGAATGAAGGAATAATAATAAACACTCAACATAACAGTATTTCTGCTAAACCTAATTAATTCTATCATGCCATATTATAGTATACGCAATAGAAATGCAAATCAGACTCACCTTTTATGGCCACCGACATCGCCTGCACCTTACAACCGAAGATCGCGTGCAGATTATGACGTTCCCTATAGCCAGAGATTGCCATGCAGGCGGCGAAGAAAGTAATATGCCAAATGAAAGTGAAAACGACTGCAAATACAGAATAAGTGCAAAAAATCTGCACCGACCGAAATGGACTAATTATGCCAATCCAAAATGAGAACAGATCTGTGAGTGACGTAATGGTGATGGAGACGGCCGCTTCGGACATCATGTGGCCCATACGTTCGGCAACGGGCATTTTAGCGGGTGTGCGTCGCCAACCGGCCAACATAACGAATGTGTCGTCAATGCCAATACCTTGAAGAGGGTTTAAATATGTATAAAAAAAAATTTGTCTGCGTGTGTCTTGCATGTAAAATTGACACCTCAGTGGGTGTACTTACCAATCATCAAGAAGGGCGCTGCCAAATTAATACCAATAAATTCAATGCCACAATACATTGCCAGACCGAAGGCCGCACATGTGGCCATGATTGCTGATATGTTACCCATAAGACCGAGCCACGGCTTCGAACGTACAGCGTCGCCCATCATGCACGTGATGACGCTGTAAATTTGTAAAACAATTTCATTACAAATGGAAATTAATGCTTGCGTTTTGATAAAAATTTTACCATTTTTAACAAATAAAAGTGTGCCTACGGCTTAAAGTGGTAGTTTAATTTCAAGATAACTTGAAATACGTACGCAGGTATATATTACAAAATACTTACAGAGAAAGATAAATTTTGCTCTTCAAGCAACGGAAAACCAATGAGACAAGTATGTACACAATATCTGATTGGGAACAGTTTTTCAAAAGCTCTTCCCACCCTCAAATTCTTTGCTTTAAACCTATTTTCCTAAGTTTTTTCTAAGCCAATTGATTGGGAACAGTTAACAAAAATCTGTTCCCACTAACATCAATTTATTTTGTTTTGAATATTTAATTTTAGTGTTATTTTTTGTTTGATCGGGAACAGTTTACAAAAATCTGTTCTCATATACAATAATTTATTTTATTTTGAATATTTAATTTGCAAATGTTATTTGCTCTTTGCTGCTCAAATATATCTTTGTCTTTCCATTAACCTGCTAATTTTTTTCCACTTTTACCCACCTAAAAAGCGCCATCAATGCAAATGTGGAACTAAAATATGGCACCACAGTGCGTGTATTTTTCTCTAACTCGTGATCCAATGTACGTGAGGCGAAATATGAGACTGATATGTGTTTGAAGAGACCAGAATCTTCAGCTTTACCAACAACTTTCAAAAATGTCTCTTCCCATTCGGCGCCTCTGCGAATGAGAAATTTAATAAAAAAAAGTGGTTTAAATATTTTTTTATAATTTTGATATATAAAATATTTATATTGCAATAAAAACTCACTTTGCATCTTGCCGTTTAGTATCTGCAGTCACAAAATAAACCAATTGTATCGCTGGCACGCTTATAATTATATTATCCTCTGTCAATTTCGTGCCGCCAAAGAAGACCGGGAACGCATGCGCATCCCAAGTGACTGGATTAAACATAATGGGAAAGGTGAGATTCAGTTCGCCGGATTCAATCTGCAGAAGAGAGGAGTGTGTGTGTGTGATAGAAAATCGACGAGATGAATTTTTAATTTTATTTAATTAAATTTTTTACTTTTTAAAAAGTCACTTACATCATCCATTATGTAATCCAAGTTCAGTATGTCATTTTGAAAACATTCGTTCTCCCAGCGAGCACACGCATCCTTGTATGTGAACAATTCACCCTCATACTCGACGGTTGCATTCTGTATAAGTTCGTCTAGATGTCGCAGTTCGTGGAAGGTCTCGCGTCGTAGCATGTTGTCATCGCCATCTTTGGGTATCACAATCACACGTCCGAAACGACCTAGTAGGAAAAATGAGAGTTTGGGTTGAGTGTGTGCAGATTGGTTTTGGAATAAAAATTTTTTTTGTAAATAAATTGAATAAAATAATGCGAAGGGAATATTTTTTGTTATAAAACAGACCAGAACCAAAAAGTTTTCGAGAAGGAAATAGCTCCAACTTAATTATTGCAACTACTTAATTGTAATCAGTTCTTTTTAATTGTAAAATTTTCTTGATAAAACATTTAAATTTTCTAACTATCGGAATTGTTTTCACTTTGAATTTTGTTTGGAAATGCGCATGAGAGAAAATAATTAAAATTTTTTTCGGCTTTTAGGATACGAAAAATCTTCGGCTTGGTCAAATGTTTAAACTGGGAATAGTTTAAACATTTTTTAAGTGATTCTAAATCTTACTTTACTCAATGGTAATGATTTCATAAGTGTTGAATTCACACTGAGAACTTATTTGAACAACTTTTAAAGGTGAGAACAGTTTAGTTTATTATTATAAATGTATATAAATAATTCAGAATTTTGTTTTATGCGTTGAAACATGAATAAGCATGGTTATAAAATCTAGCGTAGCAGTTTAAATTAATTAAAATTATACTACACGCAATTTTAAGCATTTCAGCTTATGTAAACTGTAAGGCCAGGTAACTTTGCTTGACAAATTGTATGCATGTGTATGTATTTTTATATGTTAGATCTGAGAATTTACTTGAAAATAATTTTGAATGCAAAACAATAAAGTAAAGGAGAAAAATAATATTATATTTCTTTGTGAAAACTTTGTACAGTGGGAACAGTTTGAATATTATTACAATTCTAAATTCTCTTTTATGTGTTGAAACATTCATGAGACTGATTATAAGGCCAAGCATAGTCGTTATGTTCATAAAAACTATCAAATAACTCGTTTCAGGTAGTTTAGGTTGTGTAATTTGTTGTTATAATAACTTTGCTTGACAAATTATTCTAGAATTTAAGATTGTATTTTAATTTATAAAAAAATGATTATGCAAAGTAATAAAGTCGAGTAAAGAAATAATAAAATTATAATACTTATTTATCTGGGTACAATTTACCGTGCTTTTTGAAGCGAGAACAGTTTAAAAATTACTGTAAACAATTCCAAATTGTGTATTATACGTCGCAGTGTTACGAAATTTGATTGTTAACTTCTTTAGAGACAGTTAGTTGTTATTAAGTTAATGTTAAAAGACCTTTTGGAAGCATAGGTGTTCATTTGGGATATTTTCCGAATTTTTTTTTGAAGTGATATACCACAATTTACAAATTTATTTAAAAATGATTAATATGGCAACGTTAATACAGCAAAAATGTTAAATTTTCTCTAGAAACACTTTCTGATGATATTTGCCAACTGGGAACAGTTTGAATGCCACTTTAATTAATTCCAAATTATATTTTATGTGTAGGAAAATTATAAAATTTAATTAAAAATCTTTTCATAGAAGTTTAAATAACACTCAAATTATATATAAACAATATTTTCATGTTTGAGGTTATGTTATTTGTTTTTAGGATATTATTCTTTGACAAACTATCGTTGAATGCAAAAAAGTATTATTGAAAAAGTAGTTGTTGTTGAAAAAGGCTGACTAAGCAAAGACAAAAGTATGATGGTAATTTCTTTGCTAAAACTTTTTGTACACATTTGTCTTCTCCGCTTATTCTTCTCTTAATCAAAGTAAGAATGTATGTTCTCATACTCTCAATGAAAATACTAATTTCTTATCAAATTTTCAATTTAATTTAAGTAAAAAAAATATTGCTTAAACCATTATTTAAGCAAAAGCCCTTCAGCTATAGGCTGAAAATTCCATATATATATTTTATAAATTTTTTTTACGAAAATATGAGAAGAATGAAAGAGATTTTTAACCATCTCATTTTCATTTTTTTCTTATAAACCGACACTTTAAACGTCAGTTAAAAAAAAATTAAAGCGTAAGGTCACTTTGCAACGACATCCAGTAATCGCCTGCCAAAGACAATCCAATTCATCTTACTGAACGTCAGCTGCTGTTGATATTTTTATTATTAACCTTATTACAAAAACAAAATAAAACCAAACCGAAATAAGAATTTCAACAATTGTGCGCTTCATATAAGAGTAGAACGATTACACAAATAAATTTAAATTGAAAACAATTCTATGCTGCGTTGAATGACCAAATTGAACTCTACACAATCCATAGCACGAACGCGAATTGCGACGTGACAATAATTTCAAATTGCATTAACTCACTTGCAGAGCTGAGCTGAGCTGAGTTGCGAGCGCCAATAGCAATTATTACAATACCAACATAAATGCGTTCTATCGATGAGATAGTTAGAAGCGGGAATTCGATGACGCGCTGGGGTAATCTGTGTTGGAATATTTTTTTTGTAATTGCTGGAAAAATGTTTGAAAACATTTAAATTGCTTTAATAACTTAGTTTGGTAATTTGTAATTAGATTTATTCAGCTCTTCTCTTCAGGCTTTAAATTTCTGCCTTCTTTTTTACTCTTTTAGTTTGCACTTTAGCGAATCATCTCATAAACCCTAAATTTTGCTCCTGGGTTGCCACCTTTTTAGCTGCAGCCAAACTGTGCAGACCATTGACAGAGAATTTCCGATAATAACGAATAAGGATGTTTATGTAGTGGTATCCGATATCCCTTGCAGCATCGTCATTAGGATAACCTTAAGTCGATTTGATTTAGTGTTGAAATATCTTTCCGATTCTGTGGATAGTTTATATATGCATATTTTTTGGTAAATATTTTGAAGTAAGTTTTACTTTACTTTTTTTAAATAATTATTAGTCGAAAGAATTTTTATCTTAGCGACACCGACTTTATAAAAAACATTTAAACTACTTAAATAACACCGAAATTGTTAAAAAAACAAGAAAGAAATTTATAGCATTGCATTTTAGGATTAAATATTAGGTGCATTAAAAAGAAATCTATTATTTTTGAAAAATGAATGGCTTAATTCTTAATTCCCTAAACAGCCTTATTCAGATGGTTCCGAATGGTTTTTTTTTATCTACAGCTCTTGGGCAGTGCTTACATGACGTTCGGACTTGGCAATGTTCATGATTTTATCGACATTTTCGACAATATTCCTTCCAATGAAGTATCTTTTACATCAAAATTAGCGGGAATTGTGCATGATTGAGTGTAACAGTATCAGGATCATAAACCTTATCGAAGAAAATTTGTAAAATATGGCGTATTTTTCTTTTTGTTAGTGTCCATCTTTCACGCGATTTCAAACAAAATTGAATTAACTAAACACAAAACTGTCAAAAAAGCTTTTTTAGTACAAACTGCCATTTTCCTTACGACATCTAGCGAAATCCGATCGGAGTCATACAACGCGAGGTTTCCCTGTACCTGTAAAGCCATCTATTGGAAAATTAATGGTTTTCTTCTTACTACACGTAATATACCATTACATGTTCGTAAAAGGTATAATAAGGCCATAGGACGATAAGTTTAGTGAGTTTGCTCCTGAAGTGCATTGGGATCGTTTCTGGATAAATTCAGGAATACTAAAAAAAAACAGAAGACTTTTTTCAGCACCTTGTATAGAAGGATTTTTTCTCCAATGATGACCACTTTACTTCTCTTGTTTTTAGGAAAAATCCTAACAATCGCACTTTTAAAATTTTTAATTATAATTTGCCATTAAAATGAAAGAGATTTGACTATGAAAAGATGTAAATTATTTACATAAATTAGTTACAAATATTACAGAAGGATTTGTCTTGCTCTGGTTGGTCGGCAATCAATGCCTTCAAATAAAGTTTACTTCGCTAAAGTGGAGTAAATGGTGATTTAAAAATATCGTTTAAGTTAAAGAGTTACCGCTGCTGAACTCTCTGAGTCATTTGTACCATTTTCAAGGAATGTTTGAACATGAAACACTTTGCTGCTCCGAATGATTTGAACTTTTATCTAGAACTTGCTGGAAACATGCTTAACAATTTCGATTACATACACCATAAAATGAAATGTAATTGGTGACGAGTTATGGATTTACAACTTTGATAGGCAAACCAGTCAAAAAGTTTCAGAACGGCGTCTTCCGACTGAATCGAGATCGAAAATCCATTTTAAAGCCGATCAAAATTCTTCTCAAAACAACAGACGGTGAATAATATGTTCTGAGACGCTTAAGGTAGTAAATTCGTTTGAAAAGTCATATTTGTGGAAAGAGAGCTCAAGAGTTTTGCATGAATTCCAGAGCCACTATACCAGCGACCAACCGTATGCCTTTAATATTAAGAATAATTACGCTGAGAACTGAAGTTAGTTCAAAAAATGTAATTAAAAATGTTCTGATGATTTGATTATTCGTTGGCGTAACTGTGGGCTGAAATGTCCCAAGCTGCTTTTACAGTTAGTACTAGATAATGTAGAGCGCAGTGGAAACATCAACGAAATCCATAAAAATGTTTTGAATGATCGAAGAGTAAAGTAGTGTGAGTTAGCTGCAAGAAGATATTAGAAGAACATGTTGTCTTATTGAGAGAGCTCTGTTGGAAGTGAGGATCTACGTTTCTTTACTGCTGACCCAAAACAAAAAAAAAAAAAAATATTGATGATTTCGAGATTTCGAACAGAATCAACAGAACTCATCCATTAAGATGTGGTAAAGAATGAATCATGAAGATGAATGATTCATTTATTCACTTCGGAATCAAAACGAGTGAACATCAACTGGAGCAACTCGTCTCAGGCACACGAAAGAATAAACAAGAATTGCAGAAGGTACCGAATCGGTATTTTGGGATTTGTATGGTATTATATTCCCCGAGTATCTTGGCAATGGAAATACAAAATAATCACTGTTGATATTGCAACGTCTGAAGGCCGAAATTGTTAAGAAAAGACGGCAAATGTCAAAGAATTTTTGTTTTGGTACCACAAGTTAACCAAAACTACATGAATTGCACTTCGATTTGCTTTCACATCCAGTCTATTCACAAATTTTGC